TGACGTAAATTTTATTACTTATTTTACACATACAGCTTAATCTATATTTGCTATATAAATACAGATGCGAAACTTGGAACTACCGCCTTCCGCACTTGAACTTTATTCATAAAGAACCCGTTCAGCAGCTATTTGCCCGGATGCCAATAAAAGTTTAGCCGCAAACGAATCCATTGACGCGCATATTATTTTTCACTTTTTTGAAGTTGGTTTCAAACCAACGTAAGCTCAAAACATATTAGCGCTATTAAATAATTTGTATTTATACATATTAAAAATGTGAATATGACATTTTCTAAGTGTATTTTTTCTAAACAACCTTATACTACATTGTGGAATGCAATTAATAAATAAAGTATGGCAGAGATAGACAGATATAAATGAGGAATGGATAAAAGACAAAAGACATGGTATGGGAAATGGAAGGATGATAAAAATTAGAGAACTGGAATGTAAAATTATAAAGGCCTGCTGATAGCCTGGCCAAATAGTGTAACAACAGAGCAAACACCCGCCAAACCTTTTTGTCAACCTAATTTGATGAGGTTGCCAATATCAATAGGGATGATGACTTATTTTGTTTGTCTGTTCGTCAGGAAGATTATTAAAGAATATTAAACACGAATTTTTTAGTAATCAATAAATTACAACGATACATAGAGTTGAAATGTTGCATCGCATGATTGCACACCTTTGTACTTTTTTATTTATAGTTGCGACGTAGCGAGCCCCCACTCCTCACCTTAATGCCAATTAACTAACGGTCCGTTGCACAAACGTCCATTAAAGATTAATGACGTCCTGTAAGATCTAATGAATGTCATATTTGTATGGGTAATGTCGCTTTAAACTAATGAAATTTTCAATGAACGTTTGAGCAACTGGCTGTTAGTTATTTCTTATTAAATTTAAGCAAAAAAAAGGGTATTTCAAATATTTTCTATTATCTGACTGACGGGCTAATAAGGATTTCTTTTTATACAGGCATCATCCCTATTGTCAAATACTAGCTATTCCCCCAGGACTTTGATTGTGTTAATTGGTTACTTGACTGTTTTAGGAAAAGTATTTTAAAATCATTTATATGACCATATTAAATTTCTATTATATTTATTTTAGTTTATTTTATTGAAATGTGACATCACACGATGCTCCGATATGGCCGCTAGCGTTTGAGTCCTTGTAATCCACTGATTCGAATGGCAAGTTAAATTTGCAGAAACAAAATACACTTACAATTATTAAATTTAAAAACAAATAATATCACATTCTTGTTTACATATTCGTTACATAACATATTTGTAACTGTACTAATACTATTGGAACTCATGTAAGCCTTTTTTTAAAGCATTAAATGTTTTACAAATTTCATGTTTATATATTTATGAAATAGGGATATTTGTTAAAACAATCCATATATTTAAACAAAATAAAGATTTTGCACATCAACACAACTACAAATTTATATATGGGTACAAATTTATATATTGCAATTCAAAGACTCATTTTTAATTCGAGGAACTCATAGTGTATCAGTATACGCATTTATAATAAATTACTGAACAATATTAAAAGTATTGATAATGTTATTAAAATAAAATCCTATTTTTATATTTAAATATTTAATGGACAAAAAATATTATTTAATTAATGAATTCTTGCATGAATCCTTTGATTATAATATGAACCTTTTGTATTTTATATGACTTCGATTTGACATTTGTTATTTTTTGTGAAAAAAAATATTTTTACATTATTTACATATAAAATATGTCAATATATCGTATTTGACTTTAATATTTGCACATTGTCGTGATGATAAAATATGCTGATCTAAGATTGTATAACTGCCCTATAAGGATATTTTCGCAAATAAACATTATTATTCATTATTATTTCTCTGCTTGAAGCTGGTTAGTTTACTGTAATAACGGGCACTGGCCAAGTTATTACAGTATTACATTTTTTTATATTTTTCATGCTTTTTGCACCGCATGTACTTTCTGACCATGCGGCTAGTATTAATAATAGCGGCATTTTGTTATATGGTGATAGTATTTTCACTCAGATCTATAGATATCAGATGGTTATATTATTTAAATTTTTAAAATAGTTACCATTAAAATAAAAGATTTTCCACTAAATTAATTTTTGTTAAAATTTTCAAATCAACGATATATTTTTATATAAATATGCCTTACTTTTTAGAACGCAGTTTAAATTATGTTATTTTTGAACGCATCTGTAATTAATAATAGGGTATTTGACACTTTTCTGAAAACTATTTTAAATTGTTATTTGCTACATTATAAACACACTGTCTTTATATTTCATAGAAATCTTTTCTATTTTGGCGAAAATAATTGTTAAAATTTAAATAGCCAAAATCGCTGCTCGAAAAACGCTGCTCTATATTATGGCGCTGATCGTGACGTCACAGGCCAGTAAATATGTCAAATGGATAAGTACGAACTGTCTCTATAGTAAATTGAAATAATAATCTAGAAGATAAATTGAAGTCGTAATACGTATTTTTTACCTTTTTTATTTGCCTCTTCTCTGGTTTTATTTATAAAATGAGCTACAAGTGGTGCGTAGTGCCACAATTTACTAATACTTCTATAAATAATAAACAAACTTCGAGTCTAGAAGAAAATAGATTCACAATCACTTAATTTTGAATTATTATATTAAAGTTCAAGAAATGAGAAAAACATGTAAGTTGCTCTTATTTAAATTACGGGCGTTTCCCTATTTTTTTTTATTTTTTAAAAAGCTTAGTAAATGTTTTTTTTTCTGTATTTCTTTTTGGTAGTTCTTATCAGCAGAAGCGGCAAAGTATTCTGTTATGTTTAAATTACTATAAAGTACTCGATACCTACAGGCATCGATATTTTACGTATCTTTCTAACACTACTTTGACATGACAGCTGATGACGTCACAGGCTAGTAAACAGAATCGTTATGGGTTGTGACTAGTGTTGCCAGGTCCAACTTGGTTTAAATCGGGACATTAGATAAATAAATCGGGATTTAGGGTTGTAAATCGGGACAAACAAAAACAAGGTTCTTTAACGTAAGTTTTCATAAAATAAAGTTATCTATTAGACCCGTATTTATATCATATTCATCACACCACAGATCCCCAAACACTTCATACGAGCCAATGTTGCACGCACAAATTAATTAATTTACTTTATTTACCTTCACTTATTTTACTAGTTCTGAGCAAGAGTCTTGCCTGGAAGAAATTGCTTTTTAGCAATAAGGCCGCCATTTCTACTTTAAATATATATGCTTGTATTCATGTTTTTCTTTGTGGTGTATAATAAAGTAATCATTCATTCATTTAATAGTAGCCTCTCCCAAAAAATTAATTAATTACCGTATTGTATACTTCATTAGATGAGCATTTTATTTGCATTTAAGGATACATAAAATGCGATTAATTTTTTCCTTGACTTTCAACAAGTTAGTAAATTTAGATATGATTCATTTTCTTTCACATAAAAAGTCCGTTCTAACTTTTATAATGAGCGTGGAAACAATATTATGTGTACATTTTAATTAATAATGACACATCCGGGTTAGATGGCATAAGAGAATACTGCTGTAATTGTCTTGTTGGGCAATGCACACTGGGATGCTGTGCATTCCTTGATGAGGTATTTATTAGAAAATTGTTATAAAGAAAATAAAAATCAACATGTTGTTTTGCTATGCCCTTTTGAAATTAGTATTTCACTACTACTTTTTATACGTTATAGTGTAAGATGGAAAAGTATAGTTATTTAGAGCAATCTTAAAAATTATATTATTATTTTTTGGAGGTTCATTGGTTCACAAAAAATGTTTTTATTACTTACAGTGAATAAAAATAATCTATCAGATATGGAGCAAGTTTGAAGTGTTATGTGAAAGTATGCACTTCTAGGACCACGATTAGGCAATATCTGACGTGTGCTCTGTATATTTCAACTGTAATACTACTAACTCAAAATGCTACAGTTTAAATAATATACGACATAACATCAAAAACATATTACACAATTACTCGATACTCCCAGCTTTTAAAAATATATTTTATATCTTTCTTCGTTCTAGTTGCAAACAAAATAACATATGTTTCATCAAGTTATGTTTTATTACATTTTACTAGTCCAAGCATGTTAGGCAGATAGCCATTGTTCTTTCAGTTTTTTTATATGTTAGTTAAAAGGAACGGAAATGACTATATTTGGCCCATTCGTTTCCTGCAAAAATCAACTTTTGCTAGAGTCGCCATCTAGTGAGGCTTATTATAGTGCTTTCTTTTTTTTAAACACTTCCTCATTGATAGTATTAAAGTTAATTTTCGTAATGACAATTTTCCAGAGTATTAGTCCATGATGTCATTTGTTTATATTATACCCTGTGATTATACCCAATGAAAACGTCATTGAATGAATCCACTATTAAATTCCATATTCTTAATGAAAAATGCTTAAAAAATCCACTTTGTCTCTGGTACTCTGATATGAGATACTAAGAGCAAAATGGGTTGTTTTCATTAAGAAGATTTTCAAGTATTGTGAATGCAAAATTGATCAAATATATTAATTATTATACATTACTCTTTACCTATCAAAAACAAATAGGAATAACTTAATTACTTCAATGTTTTTTTAAACATCACATACATTGCTCAGATTCCAAGATGAGTAGCCAAAGCCCCTGTATTATGGAGTATCTGAGGCAACAAACGTGCCATAACACCCAGAACAGAGACAATATAGAAAAGTTGGACCCGACCGGGAATCAAACCTGGCGTCACTTCAAAACCTGCTTTTTATAAAATTATGGATATTACTCTTTTTATATTTTTTTAAACATAATAATCGCTATATGTATTCGCATTTTAAAGACGTATCAGTCTTCACAGGACACACAATTATACTAAAGAAATAAATACGACAATTGAGCATTTGTATATTTTTCGAGTACAATTTTTTTTATTACTATTACTTTTTTAGATTCTTCTTGTGATTTTTCTCTGTGCTCTTTTTTCTGAAGAGTGTTTTAATAAGTTTGGTTATAACAATAATTATAATTAATACAACAGCAGCTAGATCTAGATACATCTTCTGGTAGAGCGGCACATGTAACGCTGACGAGCGCAGATGAGGCGCACCTTGGGTTCTGGCCACATGCTGCACCCAGTGTACCAGCTCTGACCCTGGCGACACGGGACGGTGGTGGTATACGAATGAAATCTCTTCAGCTGCATCGCAGTATCTGAAATTCATTCCAATTCGAATCATTATTTTATAGAAGTAGATACAATGAGTGAGGTGAATGGCTATAGGAGTAATTTGTAACCCACGGATGCCTATAAACGTAAAGGGCAAAAGGGCAAGATTTCTAAATCTGGGATAAGGCCTGTCGTAATGTATGGATCAGAATGTTGGGCCGCGAAGAAAACGAATAAAAGAAAATTATATGTAGCGGAGATCAAATTATTGTGAACTAGTGGTTTTCTCGTGACTTCGCACGCGTAAATTATAGCCTTTGTCAACTCCGTATGATGTAGCTGCCCGTAGGAGAACGAATCTTTAAAATCAGCCCAGTAGTATGTGCATCTGGACTGAGTGATCCTTTCGCAATTTTCAACAAAACAAAAACGTACATTTAGTCAAAATTTGTCAAAACTCATAACCGAAATAAAAAAATTGGTCACTCTTAAGCGATCGAAGATATTGCCCAATATATGGATCACTCAATTCAGACATTAGAGAAAATGGCTACAAGCCGAATCTCAGGAAATCTTACACTGTGAATAAAATCAAAAAATTGTACAGAATTTGTCACATTATTTTGCAAAAAATCAAGATACTTCAATGTAAATCCAGGATTCTACGATAGTTTCAATGGCTCACTCAATCTAAATGCGTCAGGATTAACGCTAATGTATAACTATAATTAAACTTAGGACGATGCGCTGTGCAACAATGTAAGTAACATTGTTGCACAGAACAGGAAAACTGATGACCTAATTATCACTATCCCGTTGCACTACTTACACAACTTAGAACTAAATGAGAAATGATGCGCTCTACTAACGAAAAGTAGCTTAAGTGACGTTAGAAAAATTGTCCGTCAAAATCAGAAGTTTACATATACCCTACAATAGTTTATTTTAAAATAAAAATGGAAAACGAATATCTCGTTAATGAAAATGACGTTAACAAATAAATTATATGCCAAATTTTAGTCACAATGTTGTACAAATTTTCAACGTATTTTGTATACAACATTATAACAAGGGGTTGTTATCTATATGCGTTTATAAGGATCACTCAATTCAGAAAATTTAAAAAGCTTTGATTGGACATAACTTTTTAACTATAAACATTTGTGGTGTCAAATTAATTTGTACAAATATATTTAAAAGTTTCTATAAAGTAAAAAAAAAAAGTTATCACGTATATTGTAAGCATATTACCGTATTTCTAGAATCACTCAATCTAAATGCGTCAGGATTGAGTGAGCCATTGAAACTATCGTAGAATCCTGGATTTACATTGAAGTATCTTGATTTTTTGCAAAATAATGTGACAAATTCTGTACAATTTTTTAATTTTATTCACAGTGTAAGATTTCCTGAGATTCAGCTTGTAGCTATTTTCTCTAATGTCTGAATTGAGTGATCCACATATTGGGCAATATCTTCGATCGCTTAAGAGTGACAAATTTTTTGATTTCGGTTATGGGTTTTGACAAATTTTGACTAAATGTACGTTTTAGTTTTGTTGAAAATTGCAAAAGGATCACTCAGTCCAGATGCACATCCCAGTAGTTACGTAGCCTATTTGATGCAAGCAGACATATAAATAATCGAATATTTCTTCTTAATAATATTATTAAAGATGAGTATTTACATATAGGAGGGAGTTTGAAAGTGAAACCCGTAACAGAAAAACTGAAAAGAATATGTCTGGCTCACATTATGAGAAGGAATTAAATGAATACCAATAAGAGGATGATGAATATTAAAATCGATCGCCATTCATCCAGAGCAAAAAGAAGATCTCAAAAAAGATGGTAAGATTATTTGAGTCATGATATGAAAGTATAGGGAGATGTCATCTGATAGAGAAGAATGGAAAAAGAGGACACGCTTCGCTATCCCCCCCATATGCTAGGTCAGGAAGATGATGACCTCAATAATAGCGAAAGTAAAAAAAGCAGTCGCCCGATTATGAATAGGTGATTGAATTTTTCTTTAAGTTAGATATCAATATAGCATTATGAATTCAAAGTTACTGAAATATTAATACAGAAGGACACTACTTTTGCTGTTCTTCGTAGATAAATCGTAAATATTCATTAACTTTTTTTAACTTTTCTGAAGTCGGGTTTTCAGTATTTTTACGCATCCAGCCACTTTTCTTTATCTGCAATATTTTTACCTTGGATTATCAATAATCTCTGCGATTGCAACTCTGAGATTATCTACAAAATCCCAATCAAGATCGACTCTTTTTCCGAAGCCTTTGCCAACGACCCTGTCCATATTCAGAAACTGGTCGGCAAACATTGGAACACCAATCACAAGCTTCTTAAAGTGTACAGCTTCCGTCAAAGAGAGAAGACCTCCATGAGTGATGAACAAAACACAATTTGGATGGGCTGAAAAGAACCATAAGGATTATAGTTAAAAAAGCACGTAAGAAAACAGAAAGGCTCCTAGTGAAGAAATACTGAGAAATATCGCATAAAAAATTTAAAAGCACATTCTTTTCGAATTAATAAATAAATAAAACACAAACATTAAATTCTAAATTCGGCGTATTTTACTTAAATTGAAGAAAATTACGATTTCCGTTCCGAGTAACACGCCATCTCGTTTTGAACTCATGGAGTAAATATAATGATAAGCCAAATAATATAATGATAAAAAAAACATGCTTCCAGCCAGTAGTGGCGTAATTATACCGTTGGAGGCCCGTGGCAAATTCATTGGAATTTTTTTTACTAATCGCGTAATAATAAATGTCAGGAGTAAGGAGTCTACTCTGACCGGGGGCCCCTTCTAGCTGGGGACCCGTGGCATTTCCGACTTGCCACCACGTAGTTACGCCACTGCTTCCAGCAACAAGTATGAAGGAGTAATGGCAGGGATATATTTCTATGTCTGTAGGTAATGTTGTATACATTTAGTATGGGATAGATATACTTTGTATGAAACACAAATAAAAGCTCTACGTTTCGCACCCAGCGTTAGCCCAGCCAAAAATTCCTAACGGCTGCACGTTAATTTACCACAATATGTCAAATAATGTGGCTACGCTGTTGTATTGGGTTTACCAGTCATAAGCTTATGATAATAATAAATAAATAAATTTCTGTTGTTGATTTTAAACACTACCTTGCAAGTATAAAAGTTTAAAATTGTCAGTTTTGTATAACCTAACGTTCTGTTTACTGTACAAAAGGTGCATATAAAGTACCTACCAAAAGTGCTTAACATATATAAATCAAAGTATTGTCCAACCATGCTAGCACCGAGCTAATGATGATAATGACAATAATGTGGGTCCTGAGCTCTCCTTTTGAAAAAAAATAACGATAGTAAACACCATTCACAGTGTTGCTAACGCTATGGCTAAAACAAACTAAAACAAAATAAGAAGGGCATTCTAAAACAAACAATTGTACTAATAAAACAGTGTTTTCTATTTGTTTATGTAAATATTGCATACCAACCAAGGATGCTCTGTTGTGGCGCCCATTGCACAATATGGATGTTCTTCGGCAAGTCTGGCACTGCCTCTTCGAACTTCCACAATACGGTCTGTTTCAACCCACCAAACATTTCCAGCAGACCTTTTTTTAATTTTGAAGGAAAAGTCGTACTATTCAGCATTGAACCCATACTGAAGTAGATGACACCATTACGTGCGTTATCCATTACTCGTTGGATTGACTGAAAATGCAATTATTCTAAACTTTAGCTGGCAATGAATCGTCCACCACGTTTTACCTACCATCTAGTCACGAAACTTTAAGGCTGGCTATTAAATATGATGGCCTTCATTGAATTATTTCAGAACTTTTAATATAAACCAATGAAAAGACTCAACATGCAAGTCCAATATTTAGGCAACTGTTATTAAAAATAATATTTAGTTTTTAATGTACTTTTACTTACTCTTTATATCACTCTCTCACATTTGAAATTATTTGATCTCACTTTAGGTATACCTATTTAATTAAGGGTTTTATTTAACAGAACATCATACGAACCTAAGCTAACCAGCAGAATTACTAACTGTACATAAAAATACTTCTCCGTGTTATATTGTTGAATTGGTCTTTCAACATTTACCGTGTCGCTGAAGTAAAACCCAAGATTTTTCCCGAGTACATGGAGGTAATAGTTTAAAATGAACAAGATCACAGAACAGTCAGAACTTTTACCATTCAACATTGGTAAATCTGCGGTTTCACAGGAAAATCTTAACATTTACAAAACTTCGAGCTTTTACATAACATATTCAATCTTTTATTATTGTACGATATACACCAGACACTTTAAAATACATATTTAGTTGAAAAATAAAATAATGATGTAATTTCTGATGAAATAGGTATAGTCAAATTGGTTACAATATCTTACCTCAGGTAGAGGGTCAATTTTTTGTGGAATATGATAACCCAGAATTGATTTGTAATTGGCCGGTAGTTTTATGGGTTGACCAAGTGACACATGAGAATTTCCCAACATCAAAGAACCATTGTACATAACTTCTGCGAGGGGTGATAACTTGACTCCTCTCTTAATTGCAGACGGTCCAAATCCTGCGTCGTAAATACTTGACTCTTTCGAGAGTGCTGACCTGAAATCGTCGATAATTTGATTACATCGGTGGACGTAGTTTATCGAAACGTAGCGAACTTTGTCGTTTTTTGTCCTATTTTACACTATAAAAATACTGAAGTAAGACAGGTTTCGTACAAAAACATAAACCAAACATACAGGATGTAACATTAAGAATGGTCAGTATGGGAAAACCTCAAATTATAAGACAGCGAAAATTTTATCTTAGGAACCATGTCATCGATTTTAATTGAAAAAAACTGCACCCGTTTATTAAAGTTCTAGTATTGTAGATGTATTTACTTTTGTTATATCTATATCTGTAAAAACAAACTATATATATGTTGCAGTTATACTAGTTTTTAGATAGAATATATATATACATACACACACACACACACAATACGTCACTACATAGGCCCTGTCATAATATCAGCGTCGGTACTGTGATAAAACACAGCAGCGACATTAGCTGAGACAGGGTCCTAATTGGCCTTCACGCAATATAACAACACATTTATATATAGTTTTAGAAAAGAATTTTGTTTTTTCTTGTCTTTTGTTCTTGTTATTATAATGTTATGGTGTGAATGTCAATAAAAATATCCTTCTTCTTATTCTGAGTTTTTATCAATGCAGTTTTTATTTTCCCTAAAATCGATGACACGGTTCCTAAGTAAAATGTTTACAATATTTTGAAAATTGTACTAACCATCCACATCAATTGAATTTGACCTTATTGATTATAAGGAACTATGGACTATCGTTAAAAAGATTAAACCTAAATTAACAACGGATATTTATGACATGAATACAAAAACTATAAAAAAACTAATACTTAAAAATCCTAAAATTATGCATTTGCTGCTTATAGTGTTTAATAGATGCTTAAAAAGCGGTGTATTTCCGGACTGTTTTAAAATTGGCAAAATTATCCCGTTACACAAAAAATGAGAATATTGTGCATTAAGTAATTACCGACCGATTTGCATTCTGCCAACATTATCAAAAATATTAGAGAATATAATAAAAAATAGAATTGTCAAGTATTTCGAGGAAAATCAACTTTTTGTTCCAACGCAATTTGGTTTCCGAAAAAATAGGTCTACTGAGATGGCAATTAGAAAGGTCATTTATTTTGTTCTAGACTCTTTGGACGAGTCGCAGAAATGCGCGAGTATTTTTTGTGACTTATCCAAAGCGTTTGATTGTCTTCGCCATAATAACCTTATTTGTAAACTTACATATTATGGTTTCGAGGATGTAGAATTAAATATGATGAAATCTTATTTATCAAAAAGAAAGCAAGTTGTTGTAGTAAATGGTGTATCTTCAGATTTAAAAGACATTGATATAGGGGTGCCACAAGGTTCGATTTTAGGGCCAGTGCTATTTTTAATATATATAAATGACTTAGTAAACTCGGTCCCTGAGTGGGCATTCACCAGCTTATTTGCTAATGATACTCATCTCGGAATAAAGGACAAGTCGCAAAATAAACTCGAGCAAAAAATTGAGATAGCTGTGGATATTTTGAAGGAATGGTTTCAGGCTAATGGCATATTACTGAATGCTAATAAAAGTACAATAATGCATTATCAGGTTAGAAAACGGCTATCTGAGAACGTACTTGTTACAAATAATACTTTTCTAGGTTATACCTTAGACCATACTATGAGCCACTCTTATCATATAAACAAGCTATGCAAAAAACTATAATTTACGTAATAAGGAACGATTGTGTTTGCCTAAAACAAGATTGGCAAAGGTACAAAAACAAGGCATATATAATAAAATTATAATGTATAATAAACTTCCCCACAGTATCAAAAACATGAATGACGACGAATTCGAAAGAACAATTGAATTTTTTTACTCAGCATCCCTTATACTCTTTAAATGAATTTATGTCTATGCGTTTGGATGAATATTCATTCCTACATAAAGATGGGTGAGATACGAAATTGACTAGATCTCTATGGTAGATGACAAGATATAATTGGCAAAGGTATAATTGGTAAGATAATAATCATCAATATTTTATGACATAAAATTATATATAATCTATGTTTGTATAATCTAATTTGTGATGTTGTAATTTAATTGTAATTTAATTGACTGTGATATAATTGATTATTAACCCTCTATTGCATGAATTATTAAATTTAATAGAAAAAAAATATTTTTATGTTTTAATGTGCTTTATTATGGCTTATAAGACAAAATATAAAGTGAAAAGAAAAATAAGTTTATTATTTTGGAAAAAAAAAACAGAAGCCATTTTTGGCTTCCGATGCACGACAAATAAACATCATACAAGGTGAAATTCTCTAAAACAGTTACTTTTCTCATTCAAGCATAGAAAAACATTACATTTCTCACATTTTATATGGGAACGCAAAGAACAATCATTCTGACATAATTGACGAGTCCTTTGATGAATCGGAAAATGGTCAATTTTGTCTGAACGTACTGAATTTAGAGGTAGCTCTTGCACTTTTGCAGAGATTTTTCGTTGTTAACGTTAAAAAAAAGAACTCTGAATGCATGCGAAGCCATTTTAGGCTCAAATTTACTTTATCATAATGCATACGAAGCCAAAAATGGCTCCCGTAGAAAATAATGAAAATGAAGTATAAAGAACAAATATTTTGAATAAAGTGTAAGAGGCATCAAAAACAGAGGCTTTGTAGAACATTATTTATATTTTTGAATATCAATATTCTTACTTTTTCTATTTAATTTTCACTAATAAATTTGCAGTAAATTTCACTAAGAACGACTTTGCGTACGCACCGGAAAGAAGTGAGGTTATAATGACATACGACTTTGGCCATAGACAATAAAAATTGCGTTTCGTTTCAGTTTGAACTCCCTAATATTACTGTGATAAATTTTAAAGTTTTTGTTTATAATTAGGGTAGAAAAAAATTACTAAAGTTTAGCAGCCAAAAATGGCTCTGTATGCAATAGAGGGTTAAGGATCGGAAAAAGAACCATTTTGACATTGTTAAGATACATAATTTATTTGACATTCCTACTTACAATTATTTGACCTGCATGATTTAAACCTTTATTTTTAATTTAATATGCTTATTGTAAAAGACTTGCCGTGTGTAACCTTCTCAGTTATATGGCCAATAAATTATTTGATTTGATTTGATAAGAACAAATCTTCGGCCCTTTTTTTGGCCTCCCGACTGTCAACAGACCTTCTAGAAACCTATCTTATACTGTCAGACTTTTCTGTCCCAGACTTTCCCATACTGATCGTTCTTTATATTACACCCTGTGTACTGTCCAACTACAACCGTCGCTACAAAATTAAGTCACGGCGCTATTTCATCATCGGCTTTTTACGTATTGCAGCGGCTCCAGTCCTTCATTATGGATGGTTAACGAGGTTGGGTCATGATCCTTCACGCAGGCCCATTGCGGATTGGAGGGCATTAACGACTGCAAATGCATCGGGGACCAACGGATTAACGTGCCAGCCGAAACACGTGGTAGCTCGAAATAATAATTTTCGTTCACCGATCCCTTGACCAACCCTTGCGAAAGTTGCTTAATAACAATGATTGCGGGCCGCGGCGCTTTTCCACTACGCCACCGAGCTACTTATGTCTGAGGGTATTTATGAATGTTTTATGAGTTCACCCTCACGATTATCAGCACGTACCAATTGAGTAAAATCCTTTCCATAAATATCCATAGATTTTTAACTCTCTTCCAAAAATCGAATGGCAGCTTTATCGAAGATATAATATCTGGTACGTAGGCTGGACTTGGCGCCTCGTCTATCAGCCATAACACCAAAGTGTGGGGCTCCATCGATGAGGACCAGATCAGAGGACACTGGAAAACTGAGGAAAAGCTGTTAACAGAAATTTCATTATTATCATCAAAGTTCTACTTTAAAAATATCAGTGATAGCATTATCATTTGATATAAGGACACTAGAAATATATAGGACAGTATTATCTATATTTTCGTAATTGAGTATGACTAGTGTTGCAGAAATGTATATATAGCAGACACCACGACAATATATGCATAAAGTAGGCACCTTAACAGGTAGATCAAGCTCATATGCATAGAAAAGGCGACAAGAACAAATCCTGCCTCCCATCAATAATGACTACAAATTTGTGTGAGAAAATCATTTATAAAATAAATATAATAACTGTTTTTTATTATTACAAACTTTAAATTAGTTTCACTTTTTTTATTACATTTGAGCTAAATGCAATTATATATAATTGGTATTATTATTAACCAAATATAACCGTCATAACAAATAGCGACACAATTTCTTAACAGTCCACCCAGTATGGGTATCAAACACAGAAAGAGCTTAACTTCTAGAATATAAAAGCTTGTTTGAAAAATACTTTTAGTTTTTTTACTTGTTTAAGGTAAGGCGATAAAACAAGTTGTAGTAATTGCTTGTTTATTACAACAGTTTATTATAACAGTGACACTAGAGTCAATGTTGCAGCCACTGATGCTCGAATAGATAAAAGACTTCTTCATCATCATCATCAGCCCTTTTTCGTTCCCACTGCAGGAATTGAGGCCTTCCTTATGGATGGTTAAGGCGGATGAGCCATCACCTCCCACGCTGGCCCAATGCGGATTGGAGGTTATTAACGACTGCAAATGCAGCCGGGACCATCGGCTTAACATGCCTTCCGAAACACGGAGTAAAAATTTTTTGGTCACCCTTCCCGTGACCTTGCGAAAGTTGCTTAACAACAATGATCGTGAGCCGCGACGCTAGCTACTCAGAGACTACTTAACTGATAATAATAAATAAATTTACTACACATTAACCTCTAGTGGCGATAACCGTTCATCAATAACGTTCAAACGCATTGTATTGTATCACCAATAATATTATATAATTCAAGTGTTTTACATATATTTGTTCGATTTTATTGCTGTAATATGCACGCTGATAATCATATTTTATTTTCAGGTTGATGCCTTGCACGCCATAACAAGGATGTGTTAACACATCATTTTATAAAACGTATGCCACAAAAATTTGTAGTTAGCGCGCTCGGTATGCGATACAGTTCTTAAGCAACTTTTCCTCTGTGCTTCGAAAGACACGCTAAGCCCCCGGCTGCATACGCATCGCGCCAGCGCGGTGGGTCATGGCTCGTTATCCTTCTGATTTGATTCGATTCCATCCACAGGGAAGGCCTATAATAATAGGCTGATGATGAAAATAATGAACTAGTGCACACGCGATTTTAAAAGTTAATTACCCCGAATATATTTCCGTGAAAAGCCATTCTACTATGACGGCATCGAATCTCTCGTCAGGGTTATCCATGAGTCGTTTCACGTTCGGGTTTCTAATTGTTGCGTTGGCGAAGGCGATCATCATATCTTTCACGACATATAGATTTGTCATGTCAATTTCTTTCCTCATCAATTTTTCTATATGTATAACTTCACCTGCAATTATTAAATTAAATCTCTCGTTGAATCTGGATGTTGTGATACCTTCATTGTTTCAGATGTCTATAATTTATATAATGCAAATATAAACTATTTAACTACTACATAATTACGCTCTGGATACTACATTTGAAGTCTGAGCAAAGTATGTGATCCAATATTTATTTACGTGATTTTTTATTTATTTATTCTACAAATAAAGATCATACATTAGCCAAAATATTCAATTATATAATATCCAAAATGCAGTCACTGGATGATGGATGAATGACCATTCAGAAATTTCTATCATAAAGTAGGCTGGGTGATGTGATGAAGATAAGCTACCATTATCTTAGGAATGGTCTAAATGATTTACTTAGGGTGCCGCAAAAGTAAGGAAACTCGATAAATAACAGACTTAAAATCTATGTAATCAAGATGAATTGACTCTTATTTCAACAACAACTTCCGTCTAAAGGGAAGGTTCTGTCATATCTTCTATCTAAAGGGAAGGTTCTGCCAAATTATTATATAAAAAATCGGTTTTTATTTATATATTATATAATGGGTTGGTAAACCCATGTAAACTAAACGTTGCAAAGAATTTTGAAACTATTATAACCCTTAATATAAAGCCTAAGTTGTTTTCCTACAACTTTGTCCGTGTAAATTATAGCATATGTCATAATATAATGTAGCTACTAGCTTCCCGTAGGTGAAAGAATAATAAAAATAGGTCCAATAGGTTAGGTGCCTATTTGATGCAAACATACTAGCAAATTTGTCTTCTTTATAATACTTTTCTAACCTAAAGGCGATACTTCAAAGTTAGCAGAGACATCAATTTGCCGGAGGTTCGGAGATGGTCGAAGTCGAGGTAACGGTGTAATATAAGTCACCTGAAATAGATTGGCAAATTTTAGAATTTGTTTAACGTGTACAATTGTATACCATACATCTATATTTAGTTTTATATAATGATTCGATTATGTTACATTACGAAACCGATCAGTTAAAGAAAGAGTGATTGTATAATTAATCAAAATAATAATAATATATAATTTGCTAATAACTTTTTACTTATATAAGTGAAAGGTTATATGTCAATTCACTACCTAGTAATCGAAAGATAAAATTATTTTGATCTTAAAATAAAAATTAAATTTTTCCGATAACCTAATAGTTTTTAAGTTATACGTGATTGGCAATACAAAAAAGCACATTTTTAACTAATTTTCATGAATAGCTCAAAATTTTTAGTTTTTATGGAAAACATATTTAACGACTGGTAGTCAGAACGGGCTAATACCAAGCCCAAATAGATCGTCCATATCGGAGGACTATCTTTAAAATAACACTGCAGGCGTGTATACCAACGTGGATTTGTTCCATTTTATCATTTTTCACACGAAAATATAACGAGATGAGCGTGATGTCATCTGATGTCTTTACGACTCGGCGTTTGGAAACAGAATGTCTGCCAAAATGGCGGCAACTTGGTTTTTATAAACGAACTGTCAAAGTCAGTGTCACCATTCTAATAAAATTAAAAGTATCGATGATCACGCTCTCTTTACAATCGAGTAATTAAGTAATCGAGTAACTAGCAATTAAAATAAAAGAAACTAAATCAAACGATCTTCGTAATGATGATGCGACATATTAATATCAAAATTAAAGTAAAAAAATATTTGGTTTTGTGTAATTTTACGGCTCATAGTAAGCGACTTATTTATGACTCGATGGAGACAATGTTTAACCCGACTACGGTGAAGCGAAAAGGGGGATTATGATTTTGGCCGGTATATATGTAAGAATGTTCATCTGTTCCCTTATAACTTCGAAACTACTTATCGTAACTGGACCAATGAGATATCAATAGAAGCGTCTTAGTTGTCCGCGTGCTAGGCTATGTGACGGTACATTAAATTGGCAACAGCGCCCTCTAGAGAGCATAAAATAAGAAACAAAAAAATATAATCAATCATTCCTGTAGGGTATCAAATGAAAGCGGCTTTTGCATTGCAATTTTGTTTAAATACACCCGAAAATTAATTAAATAAAAAATTAGTTCAATAAAACCCTCTTCCCGCTAAACTATCAAAGCCTCTGAACGTGAGGGTCTAAATGTTATGATTCACATGACGTTATACTTTATTAAATTCCCTACAAAACTATTTTTGAATGAATGACAGCTTGAAAAGGGACCGAGTTACAGTTATAAAAAAAAATTAGAAATACCTTTGGAAAATTACGTAGCACCCAAATTTTGAAAACGGAAGTAAGACACTATTTTTACGTTCAATGACTGGACTAATATGTCAAAAAAGAAAATTTAAAATACAATAGTGTGACCAACAAAGTTTGGTGGGTTGATAAATCAATTAGTCAGTCTTTTGCCTTCTATATTTCTTCCTTTTAGGATTTGGTCAAGATCCGATGACAGCTGATATTAATTTTACAATAATAATAATCAGTTTCTGTCTCAAAACTACAAACGATATTCTAACGTATTATTACAATAGACTTAAAAATATAGTAATATAAAACATCTGTTTTAGTTTTTAACATTCGTTTCATCATAAAATCTGAACAAGTTTATTATGGATGTGGATGGATTCTTTGGTATATTTGTAACGATTTAACTGGATTATTTTTATTCTTAATGAAAAACGCTTAAAAATTCACTTTGTCCCTGGCTACTACACTTGTTACTTTTTTCGCTACTATGGAGCGTATTTTTATAAATGTTCAGGCAAACCACCCACAAATGAAAGAAATGTATTTGCAAATATTTAAACTTTCGATAAAAATGAAAATTTTCTTAATGAAAAATGCTTTAAAAAAACAACAGTCGCTAGGATTCTCAGAGGCAAAGTGGATTTATTAATTTAATTTTCATCAACATAGACCCAAAAACAAGAAAGTTTCATACAAACGTTGTCACTCTTTTAGACCGACTTCGGGGTGATATTTCCAAAAATATGTTCTTAGTACATCTACGTCTTAGTACATCTACGTAATAAAATTAATGTAGGTACCCTTCAAATTTCAAATCTCTACGACCAGTGGTTTAGGCTGCGCGTTGTCTGTCAGTCAGTATGTCAGGACATCCCCTTTTATATATGTATAGATTATGGCTCTATTTATCATGATTGCTTTAACTGTTATATATAAAAGGGCGCATACGCTAAAATTTACTAACTCTCTACTGGTTTTGTAAACATAAATAACGACCAAATGAAATGTAATTAAAAATCAAAACATGGGGTTATAATATAACCACTTAAATGTCCATAGTTACAAAAATAACCAAAATATTTTTGTCAATTTACGTACTGGTTAGTAAAGAGACTACTAGTGCAGTGTGGAAAAACCATAAATCCTATAATAAGTTATATCTTAATTAACTAAAAATCTAATTTTCATCCCTTTAAGTGCTGGTTTTCAAGATAAAACATATCTTATACTTTTCTTATACTTTTGAAGTGGAAAATGAATGGTGAAATGGAAACATCTTAGCGTAATAAAGTGAATGTATTCTTCAAAATTCAAGGCTCCGTCCAGCGATATGCGAATTATATCAAACGGCCGGTTTCTGAATTAAGTACAAAATCGCAACTGATTGTTCTCAATAACTTAAGTTTTGAACACGTTCGAAGCGGCACATTTTTATTTCTATTCTTTCGATTGCTGCGGTACCGGACATTTTACACCTGGACCTAATACTACCATTGTGGCGGTACAAAATTTAAAAAAGCTTTTAACGTTCAAAAATCTTTAATCCTTTTTAGGCTTCATGTAAGGAAAAAACATATTTTTCCGCTTTGATTATTATTATTAATGATTTAATTGAAATGACTCTGAAGGCGTTCGTGGCCAGCTTATTTGCTTTATAATTTATAGCCAATATAAAATACAGGGTCTTATGTACACTGTGCTGCACTGAACAAGAGGATGTTTGTGCAAATTTTGGGGATGAGAAAAACAGATATCGAGACTTCTAATTAATTGAAGCAATTCATAAACATTATTTTTACATGCGTCACATTCAGTTTTTTTTTACTTTCTGTCAGCTTGGTGGCTATTGAAAATCACAGTTTCTTTTCTTCGCTCTTTTTACTAAATGGTGTTTATTTGGTTTTATGGTGGGTCCCGAAAATAAAATATATAATAAATATAATTATAGAAATGCATGATGATGGGTATAAAGTAAAACAGAACGAGTCTATAAATGAAAGGGAAGGATGTGCATGGGCGAAAGAGGGAGAACGAATGAGTTAGTATTACATTAGCATTATTCTAGTTTTTAAAACGCTACGTGTAATGTAATGGGTGTTGGGAACGTTGAGAAAAATAAATAGTACTTATGTAGACGAAGTGTATTTTATTCATATTTAGTATCGAGTCGCCAGCCTTGCGGTTACGTTGTGTAGTATGCGATGTGTAGCGTAAATAGTATTAACGACTTACCCGTTTTTAATAAAACAATCTATAATTTGATTTATTATAATCATCACTGTCTTCACAAAGATCTAACTTAATTCTTTTACTGGTCTTGAACTGATCGCGTTAAGCTAAGCGGCGTGCGGTACTAGATGAGCGGGAGTATCAGGTGTATTCAACCTGGATGCGCACTGTGAATCCGGATGAAATTTTATTTCTTCAATGCGTTACCAGATATAATAAATCTGCTATTAAGGTAAGCACACCACTGGGTTCTATTTAAATAGTCCATCTTAGATATATATTTGTCTCTTTCCTACACTGACCAATCTTAAGTTATGCCTTGCGACAGAGAAGTCTATGTTTTTCGTACCTGCACTACAAGCGAGACATGCACCAGGAGTTTCCGACCTGGTTTCGCACTGAACCTTCCTAGTTTTTATCAACTGAAATTAAAAATACTAAATTCAGAAATGAAAACTTCTTTATGCGCCGTTTAGGCACAGTTTAAAACGCGCATAACTTTAAATACTCAAATCAGAAACCGGGTGTTAGTCAATCAGTCATTACGTCAGGACAAAGACTATAAAAATATAAGGTGTAATATTATTATGTGCCAGAACCTTATAAGGTGGATAAGTTAAATGTACTGAACAACCTATACTATGGTAGGAATACTGAATTCACGAAAAAATAATCAAATGATTCATACTGTTCGGGTTTGTAGGTCTTTACCTAGCAAAAGTCCTCTTGTTAAAGCGGGCATGTGACTATCAACTTTTATTTGGCCGAAGTACATGCGAACTACTGCAAAATGTTCGTATATACTCGTACATTGTTGCTTTGTGAAATTGGTGTTTATTTATCTTTATGTATGCGAAAAATCTCGAAAAGGAATAATATTTCAGGCATGAAAGAAATTACGTGATATTTTAGAGCAATCTAAGGCCTTAGACACAAAGAAAAGAATTTCACCAAAAATGTAGTTTTTCGTTTATTCTTTGCTGCCGTCAATATTATAACTGCACATACTATTACTTATTACCGGTAAAATACCAAAGGTAACTTAATTGACTGACTAAAGACTATGATGACTAAAAATAATTTACCTCATGGCCAGCTTCTAAAAGGTGCCTTACATACCCTTCACCCAAAATGGCATGGCTGCTACCAGGTATTGGGAACACCACCAGAATTTTATATGCAAAACACACTTTTAAAATTACTAATATGAATAGTCGCCTTAACATTATAATTGATAATGATAATAGTTTTAATTTAATTATCTCCTAAAGTGCTCGCACTACTATCAATGGTACGCACTTCACTTCGCTCCGAAAGATAGGTCGTTGCGTATAAGCGAGTGCAAGTAAACTGACTGCAAGATACAAATAATACGAAGTTCAAGCTATAGATAATTGTAATATACAGCTGCGGTACTTGACGCTTCTACCACAGTAGAGAAAATATACAGTATTCTGTCTTCGTACATAATATGGCCGGAACGCGAATCGTTCGGATAACTACATACAAAAAAAATTACAACCATAGATTTAGTTTATGAACGTGTTCGTCTAAGAAGCTTCTTCGTGGTTAAAGGTAAATTAACCACGACATGGCAATAGCGACAATAAACGTTGGGAAAGGGAACTTTTGCGCTAACTTTAAGTAAGGATATATCAATATGTATGAATATATGCCGAGTTATTAGTAAGCGAGGACTAACTTTAGTACCAGCTGGTACCAGACTGATAAGTATATAACATCAACGCGTTCACTAGTGAACATGTTAAGAATTTATATGGATATTTGTAGTTATTGGTAGTTACCGCTAGGAACGCTGTGTATATTTCCATACCAAAATCTTAACGCAGTCACGATCGACGATAAACGTAAACTTCAAATAGACTGGCTTGCCAGTGATCTATTAAAAAGTTTAGATTATGTTATCTGCGCACACCATTGACAAGAAGCAATGCAATTGCCTGTTTTGAGTTCCAGTTTAGTCACATTTCAGCGAGCGTTGTGGCTAATGTCATTTTCACTCGTAATACTTTGTGAAAAGTAGAAAAAATACCTTCCTCTGTGTTTATACAAAAACATAAACATTGATAATGAGAAAAGCAAAAAAGACATAATTTCATGCGTAAGTACTGTACTTACTCTTTTTTATTTTAATAAAAAATTTATAAAACATCATTGAACGGGGACATTTTTTCGTGCGTCGTGTTCTACAACTAGGGGAGATTGGAATTGACACGTAAAACTAAGCAAGTTTTGTTTATCTCGTTCTAACAAGAGTTAAGTATGCTGTGTGATCCTAATAGGGAGACAACTATTTATGATTTCTTCGCGCCCTTTGTGATTGTATTATAATGCTATAAAACGCAATAATGTATGACTTGTCTAATAATAAAACGTCATTGTAGCGTAACTAGTGCTCTGTTTTAAATTATCGTGTATATTATTATGCTACAAAAATAAGTTAACTCTTGTCAATTTAATGTTTTGTCTTCTGTCATTGTTAAATTAAGCGCGAATTGGTTTAATCCAAATACTGACTCCATTCCTCGTTTTATTATAAGATGGAAAAGTTTATTTGTATTTTAGTAGTGAAAAATAAGTATCACTTATTTTAATTAGTAAATATTTTATGATTGCCAAAAAGCCAATAGGGATGATGAATTATATATGTTTGTTTGTCCGTCGGGTAAATTATTATAGAATATTAAACACGAATTTTTTGTTTGTGTGTGTGGGTACTTAGTAAATAAAAGCCGCCAAGGGTAATTGGTACCAATATTATTATCATTATCATTACCTGTATTATTATCCAAATTTTATATAAATGAACCTATTAAGTAATTTAATCGGAAGCTATATAATTTGATTACAGTGCAAAATATGCTAAATACTTTAATGACAAAGTGAATAGGTATGTAGTTATTATATACCTATTACCTGTTAACGACGGTATTCTACGCGTCAATTAAGATCTTCTAAGCATTTGTAGTGTTCAAATAGTTACGATGTGGCTATAAATAGAAGAAAATGTCAAAGCATTATTATAGGAAATTCCCGACAATTGTCGGTTATTTATAAGAACACCTTTACTCCTGCTCCAGTGTTAAAAATTTATGCCTTCACATTAATTGTCCCACAGAACACATTTACTCCAAGAGGATTGCTCTGTCAGTTGGGAGGGCAGGTTGCTGGAGGCCAATTCTACTAAATAAATTTTGTTTAAATCGAATCGAAAACGGATTGAAAACGGATCGAAACCGAACAAAACAACAGTTTTTAATGGTTTTCCTATTCTACTTAGTGACATACGATACAATTCCAGCTAAAATAGAACTGGAATTCTATCGTAATTATTTAGTAGAATAGGAAAACCATTAAAAACTGTTGTTTCGTTCGGTTTCGATCGATTTTCGATTCGATTTAAACAAAATTTATTTAGTAGAATTGGCCCCCACAAATGTGTAGTGTGACGGGGTGCTGTACCAGCGTTTATTTCGTCCTAAGTTTCCGCATGCAAACTTTTTGTCTTTGATATACAATATCGTTCCTTTTTATTATTTACTTTTCGTAATTTGAAATTTGGACTAATCCAGTATGCTCTTTATGAATGTCAGTTCGTAAAAAAATCATATAGTGTGAACATGATAATTTAATCATATAAATTTAAATATAAAATTTAATAATAATGAAGTTATTATAATTTAAATAAGAAGATTGTTAATCTAAAAGAATATCTTCGTGAAATATCGTCAAAATTTATCTATTACAGGAGACCCAAAAAGGGGTATGTATTTGTTAAATTTAACAATTGTAATTAAATATTTAGGTAATCATACGAATTGATTTTATATTCATTTTTTGTTTGTTACAGTTTTTCCTTACCCTTTTCTTTATTCATCACCAGCCCTTTTACGTCCCCACTGCAGGGGCTCAGGCCTTCCTTATGGATGGTTAAGGAGGATGGGCCATGACCCTCCACGCTGGCCCAATGCGGATTGGAGGGTATTAACGACTGCAAATGCAGCCGGGACCAACGGCTTAACGTGCCTTCCGAAGCACGGAGTAGCTCAAGATAATAGTTTTTTGGTCACCCATCCCGTGACCGACCCTTGCGAAAGTTGCTTAACGACTACGATCGCAGGCCGCGGCGCTTATCCACTACACCACCGAGCTACTCATCTTTATTACCGTATAATAAAATCAAGGTCTCAACCTTAGTCAATCTTTCTTTCATTCGCCGAAGCATCGAACCCGTCGCAGTAGTAAAGTTGTCATTACGTTTAGGTCACTTTATATAGTGAAATTATTTCTCCCATACATCACTAAAATTACATGAGTGCAGACTGTTGTAATCCCACTTCTCGACTACGCTGGTGTCAGCTATTCTGACATTAGTCAATTTATTATATTGGATCAATTTTGCATTCATAATATACTAAAAACATTCTTAATAAATAATGCTTAAAAACCCATTATATTCCTGGCACTCGGTGATGGAACTCGAACCTTTCGCAATCCGGGCGACTGAAACATAACAGGACTGAAAAATTTTTCAAGCACTTGTCACTTTTTCGCTACTACGAAGCGTATTTTCATCAATGTTCAGACAGTCCTCCCAAACTGTCGAAAGAAATATTTTTACAAATATTTAAACTTGCTATAAAGATAAAATTTGTTCTAATTATTATATTTAATTAATTTTGCATTCACAGTGCTATACTGAAAAATATTCTTAATGGAAAATGCTAAAAAAAACACTTTTCTTTGGCACTCTGAGATGGAACTTGAACCCATCACCTTTCGCAATCAATTTCTTCTCAACAAATTGGATCGCTTGCTTAATAGCTCTATTCGGTTCGTATATGGTCTTCGTAATTACGATCACATCTCTGATTATAGGAAACAACTCGGATGGCTTACTGATCACCAACGCAGGAACCTGCGAGGTATCTGTGTGCTTTTTAAAATCCAATACGATCCATGTACTCCAGGATATCTGAATATCTGAAGTCTTAGGTTTCAATATCTTGGTTCCAGTTCCAAAGGGATTGCGATGATTAATATAGTTTATTATAATGCAAAATTAATTCCAATGTTTTAATTACGCAATATCCATATTCATAAAAATTCATAGATTTCTTTACCTACCTTTTATGCTAAACTAACAAAAATAAAAACATGTTATTGGCCCTTATTTGTTAAACGCCGAGTGACGGGGTTCATTATGACAAGCGTTAACGGTAGACCTATTCGCTAACTCAACTGACAGGCTAAAATCGTAAAAGTAAAAAGTGAACCAGTGTGTAAAAGTCACTTATTCGTATGATCGCTTGCCCAGAGAGCTCTGTGAACAATTTATTTCAATTGTCTTCAGAGTTATAAAAGAAAGGGCCAGGGCAACGTTCTTAAGGAAATGTACACTATTTATTCTCCATTAGTAATCAATTCTAATGGAGAATAAATTACTGTTAGATATGAAGGAAGTTTTTGGGAGATAAGTTAAAGGAAACATATACATACGTACAGAATAAAGTTCTTTATGTCTAGACATTAATATTTCTACAGAACCCTTTTATGTCGGTACGGTGCACTAAATCAAATCAAATAGCGTTTATTGACCCAGAACAAATACCTACATGAGAATAACAAGATCATAGATTCTATGAATTTAATCTCGCTGCCGACTGGGTAAATCAGCCTTACATTTGGGAGGTTAGCCATTTAGTTGAATGGCAATTTCACGCTTAGTTTTCTAGTTGAATCATTATGACATTTGAACCGTTCAATAAGACGGTCGATTCCAAAATAACATCGAAATTTAAGATTCGCGATCGTCTTAAATTTTTAACCTATGACGTGACCTACAGGACCAAAATAACTTTTATAACATTGGACTTCGAAATCGTAATATACATACTAAAACAATCGGCAGTCATTTTCAATAGATGGCGCGGTGGCCGTCTTAATCTTGGTATATCTTGTCTTTCTGTAATTGAAGTAGTATTTAGAATTTTCTACGAAAGTTTAAGCTTGCGTCTTGTATATGTACTTTAGGATCCTGCATTGAATCATAGGGATCATTAGCACACACTCTCGAAAAGATCGTTTGTTTATTTTTGGTCAGTCTTGTATCTGTATCGATTACAAATCGTATCAAGTTTTTTAATTTATCGAGAAAGTATTTTAAAATAAATACATTAATTACCGAAATCAAACTAGATGTCGCTACGGTACTTTCTTGATTTCTCCATGACTACCGTTCCGGTTTTTCTTTTATGTATAAAAGATTTAAAAATCACCTACTACACTTATACATATATTTTATTATATTAATCCATCCGATAAAATTTCGGTATTCTCGATAAATTGACAGTTAATTGAATGGCGCCATTCAATTAAAAGCCTAGCCGCCCCTTTGGACGGCTGATTTAACCACTTGGCTGCGACATTTAATATTTTAATGTAAAGTGACTATCTTTATAATATATTGATCTGGTAAGGACATACTTTTTGTGAATATCGTTCTCTATTAAAGCTGGTGAGTTTTAGCTCGCTCTTCTTATCAACCAAAAGACGTCCTGAGTGGTAGAGGTAAAAATGTTGAAACTCAAAAGTGCTTGAAACAAGTTTATTTTAATAAATTTATATTGACTTTGACAAAAATAAAAAGGAAATTGTGTTTAGGGGGCCAACCAGGAACCAGTCTCAACAAATGCTGCAACAACGGCTATGACATGACAGCAGTTATTTTATTTTACCATTATTTTATCGAAAATAGAACAGATTCCTATGAAATATATTGACAGTGTGTTTCCAATATATCAAACAATAATTTAAAATAGACACACACATTCAAATTCCAAGACATACAGAAACATATTTGTATTACTTAAACATATTTTAGTTCGTCTTTTGTTTCTTTCCCATTGATTTCCTTTTGATTATCTTCCCGATAATAAATTTTAGAATGTAGAATACCATTAAGATCACAGTTATGAGATCAAGGTAAACTTTCTGATACCAGGGAGTGAATAAGGCCGGCGATCGTAGATGCGGAGCTCCACGAGTGTACACTACGTGCTCCACCCAGTGCACCAGCTCGACAGCTGGAGGAACAGGTCGGTGGTGGTACACGAACGAAACCTCCTTGGCTTTAGCAGTATAGCTGAGGATTAGTAAAATAAACATAACAATAGAAAATAAATATTAGATTACATTATATCTAAAGGAGACGGTCCAAAATCGCCCTGACGTACGGCTTAACATCCGTGTATAAAACCATAAATAATTTCATCAGCAGTATATAAATATCCCCACTGCTGGGGCACCGGCCCTATGGATTCCCTATGTATGGAATCCAATCAAATCGAATAGGGTCTCATCACGCAGGCCCAGCGCTGATTGTTGGGTATTAACTCTCAGATGCAGCCGGGACCAACGGCTTGACCTGCCTTCTGAAGCACGAACAATATACGGAGATTATATAAATACAATTAAAAAGATACATAATTATAATTTCCTAAACAATGGACTAAATCTTTGTTGATTTAAAGTTCTTCGTCGAAGAATTCAGTTCATAATGTCAAGTCTTTTGACAATAAATGAAAGATTTTTATTCCCTCTAACTCCGCTCCGCTCCGTGTAATGTCAAACTAAGACAGAATAGCGGAAGTCCCGGATATTTTAAAAATCCTGTCTTAAATATCGCTGATAATTAGGTGTCGAGTGACAACGACCTACAAAAACTGAAAGCTATGCCTACTATTATTGCTTTACTTTATTTAAATATCTTCAAACTTTAAATACTACGTCTCTCTACTTTATGGTAGTTTAGGCTAAAGTTTTTAATGTTCGTATGTCATTGTCTAGAGATTTGTTTTATTTTTATTTTTTATTTGTTTATTTCAAAACAAAATCCACAGCAAGTTCTTATCTTAATAATAACAGAACAATTTTAATTATCTTAATGCCAATTACGGATTTTCATTATTTAATTAGATAAAAGGCTTATCGGAGTTAGGCCACAGAACAATAACGGGTGCTTCTGGGTCAATATTTAAATAATTACATTTTACACTTATAATATATATATTTGCATTAAACTTACAGAAATATATTTTAAAAACTCAACAGACTTTGGTTCCCGAGATGGGATCGGAACTCTTTATCTTTCCTTTGCCAAAAAACACAAACTATTTATAAGTACGTAAAGTTGAGGTAATAAACAACATCCATATTAAAATCTGCATTAATTATAAGTTGCCAGACATGGAAATGTGGGTATTACATTTTTAAAATTTTACATTAAACATTATCAAACACATCTTAATCGAATGTTTGAGTTAAAATGGTCCTGTCGAATGTTAAGGTATCTATCTGCCTGAATGGTAGTGAAAGTAACAAGTAATTCAGGAACTTAATCTCGGGTATTTTGCTAACCAATCGACTCCACCACTAATGCAGAATTTATTGAGTTACCTCAATAAATTCTGCATTAGTCAAAATATGTTTTGACTAATGCAGAATATGTTCGTAAGGTCAAAATATGTTTTCACGCTATAAACGCTTTTATGATACGGAGCAAAAAATTACCTACATACGTCATATTATAATTGCCTTTATAAAAATAATGATTTTCTGCGATTTTGCCGCATTTTTGCTGCTTTGATGCGCATTTTTAAATATGCCGAACACTCTCGCACCTCCACTGATAACCCGGACTGAGAAAATTCACAAGTTCAACTCTTGTGTTGAACAATATTAAAAATAATAATTCTTAGAACTTTCATGATCACCTTGAAGTACTAAGCATTTCTTCTAAAGCATCGTTGAGTTCATCAGCCAATTCATAAGAGAGCTCCACTTGTATTCCGAAACCCAAATTGACTGCCATGGCGATGTTATTGAACTGATCTCCGAAAATCGGTATTCCTATAATAGGCTTTGCAAAATAAACGGCTTCAGTCATGGACAACGCTCCACCGTGAGTAATAAACAGGATACAGTTGGGATGAGCTGCAGAAAAACAAACAAACAATACAATCTCATTCATCTACGTTTACAATGCTATTATATAATACCTTTTATATAGCTATCTACTGTCTACTAATTGTAACTACTTTGTAGTTTTGACTTATCACCACTTGGTGATTGATATATACAAACAAATGAGGTTATCACAAATATTAAAAAAAACATACATCGCCGTCGAATATATAACCTCCTTCTCCTTTTCGCTTTCGAATTCAGATAAAAATGGAGAAACAAAGAGCTTTAGATAAAATATCATTTCTATTTATATTTAAATAGTCTTTTCTGACAATGTAAAATTATTTTCTAAATAAGTTATTATTATTAACAGAGTCATAAAGCTTGTCCCATTTTTATTCCATTGCAGCAATGAGATAGAAAGATGACGAATTGCGCCGCAAAAGCGGTTTTAAATAATTACTTGCAAACTGTTACGATTATTATAAAAGTGCTGCATTATTCCTTCGGCTACGAAGTGACCTACATCAGGCACGTGGACAGCTATTGGTGGATAGCCGATAGCGTGATACTTAAATCATTGCGATTTGTCAAGATTAACCGCTTTTTTAAATGCACAGGTACATCAGTAAGCCACATCAGTTATATCTTATTGAACTCAGGGTAAAATTACTTATTAACATTACACTTATAAAATGTTTTATGTAATGTACTTCAGTTATTTGTCATGTTTTTTTTATACTGTGTTCTGTTGTGTGTTAACAAATGCCCACTATTACTATATGTTCACGCAGGGTCCCTTGCAAGGCAGAGAGGAGGTATAGTATAGTCATATAGTCACAGGGTATAGTCATTTACACACAATAACAGTCAATAAAACACGATAAATGTTATCGCGAAGGTTTGTCTTGGATTATAATACCTCCCAGTTTCACGTCTATAGAGCATGCCTCTGATAAGTTTTATTCCGACCCCGTTTTCCAAGTCAAGTTTCATATCTCATCAAGTAATTAATCGACATCAGAAATGATCAAAACACTTAAAATAATATTTTCGAATAATGAATTAGGGTAAATATTTAATTTCGTGTAAATTGGGTGTCCGGAGATAAAGAATATATAAATCGTTGTTGAAAAAACTTGGAAATGAATCGGTTTTTGTACACGTGGATTATAAAATCGGCAATGCGCATAAAAATAGTTCTTTTCTAGTTAGAAACGTATTAAATTTCAGAATAAAAGCCGCGCAAATCTCATTACCAGTTGGATCCCTACTACCAGACTTGAAGACATCGAAGCTTATTTCTAAAAAATTCACAGGGAGAACTGCAATTTTATTTAATTATAAAATATTTTTTAATAATTACTTTATCGACGATATTAGTCAATATGTAAGGAGTAAGCGAGAGTTCGATAAATTAAGTTCTCCCGCTGAACAAATGAAGTGGTTTGCGAAATGGCTAATTACCAATCTTATCAAAAAAGGTACTTATATCTCGTGGTTTCAGACATTTATACATAGACAGCCTATTCACTAGTAAACGAAGACCTCCCCTAGGATGCACCAAAAATAAGATCTCTATATATCACTGCCGATCACTGCCGGCCACCTTTATGCGGTCATCATTAACATCTTAACGATTGACGTCTAGCACTCGATCAGCCGTGACGTAGTCTCCATTTAAAAATCCGAGAAACCTCTCGTAAAGATAAAAATAAACTGACATGGAGCACTCGATTCGAATACCAAATTCTAAGGGGTAAAAAGGTAAAAAGTCTCTATGTTGCTCGTCAGTGTAAAAATTAGAGAAGATGAGGGCTAAAGATGGGGAGATTCTTGAAGATTTTAAACACCGCTCTAACACATGTAGTGTAAAATTGTGTAGAATGGTTGAGAGAAAATTTGAAAATTGATACAGTAAGTCAGTTAGTGAACGAGCATACGTCCGATGATCGACCTTATTACGGAATAGACAAAATGATCCACAAAAAGAATAAAAAAGTCTTCTTAATACAAAATGCGAAAGGTTCGATTCCCATCTCAGGCCAGGGACCAAGTGGATTTTTTAAGCATTTTGTATTAAGAATATTTTCCAGTATGGCATTCTGAATGCAAAATTAATCAAAATATAAAATAAAAGTCTTCTCTTATACAAAGAAAGACTCACGTATAGACTGCACCAACTGTAGAACTAATCAGCTAAAAAGTCTTTTGTAGCTTTATAGACCTGAGAAAACGTTTGATTAAAAATATATTTTGGGTCTCCGGGGTTCCGAGAAATGAACCCTACTACTACGTGGAATACAGTCCACTTATTAAGACTGTTACCCTTTTTTTGACGCTGAAAAATGCATTAGCTCCCCCAGCGTACGGTCGGCAGTGCGCAATCCGGTCAAGCTGCCCCCGGCTAGAGATTACCTAGAGACGCGTAATCTCCGTTCCCCTACCCATCGTGTTGGGAGGAACCACACAGAAAACCAGCCTCATCAAGCTCTTTATTTTTTTTTATTTCACATTATTATGAATAGGCAAATTAAAAATTATGTATTATTTAGGTCATTTAACAAAAATAGTAATTTAAAAAGGCTAATTGATAGTATACTGACAGTTTACCTTAATCAACAACAAAATTCCATTTATTTACTTTGATGATGGTTTAAAGAGTTCTGGGTGCTATTAATAATAATTGCATTGAAAAAAGAAATACAGATAAATTAGAGCCAAATTTTCTTATATATTGCCACTTATGCCACTTTAAAAATTTTGTTAGTTTCAGGACAGTACTCCCTGCTGCTATTATTCTACAATATTTCTAGAACTAGTAAAAATTGTTGATTAAATCGACGTCAAGTCTGCCGTGGATCTCTGGGGTTCTAGGAAAACCACTTCGGAAATTGCGAATACAGACTTACCTAGAATACTAGGTTGAGGTGCCCATTGCACAATATGCACATTACTGGGTAGATTTGGTAGGGCTTCTTCGAATTTCCACAACACCGTCTGCTTCAATCCCCCAAATACTTTTAGAATGTCTCTCTTCAGTCTTTCAGGCATATATTTGCTTTTCACATTCGAACCCAAACTAAAGAATATCAAACCAGTCTTGGCGTCATCGAGTATTTTTTTGAGATCCTAAAACAAACATAAATAAAATTTTGTTAAATAGGCGTTTTCCAAGAAAGTAGTCGGTAACGTATAAAAAACTACATCGGTAACGTATAAACTTAAAGAAGATAATACATTTCGCTTAAAAATACAGCTTATTCATTAAATATGTATATATAGTATTTATAATGAAACTGATTTCAAAAAGTTTGTATAAAAATCTAATTTATTAGAAAATGATATATAATTAATTATATACATAATCCTCTACACTCAAAGTCAAAGTCAAAGTCAAAATAATCTTTATTCAAATAGACTTCGTAAAAGTACTTTTGAATCGTCCAACATTTTTTCCCTACCATTCGTTCAGGACGTCTTTTGGCTGATAAGAAGAACGAGCAAGAAACTCACCAGCTCTAATATGAGTAATGACATTTACAAAAACCATGTCATTACCAGATCAATACATTATAAACAGAGATAAAAAAAACTATGGTCTTATAATAATAACATAATCATTTAATAATAATGGAAACAAGATAATGAGTTTAGAAGTAATCACCTATCCAGTTGCTGGATCATCTCAAGTCCAAGCGTTCTTATCTGTTATATAATCGGATACCTTATAATAAGCTTTTTTAATAAGTATTTTTTTAATAGTAGATTTAAACTGCATGATATCTAATTGTTGTATTTTGCTTGGGACCTTATTGTAGAAGCGCACACAAAGACCCTTGAAAGAGTTATTAACTTTTTGCAGTCTAGTGACAGGCACCGTTAATTTATTTTTATTTCTTGTATTAAAATTGTGTACATCACTTTTTATAGAAAACAAACTAATATTTTTACGAACGTACATTTAGTTCTCGTATATGTATTGAGAAGCAACAGTCATAATGTCTATTTCCTTAAATTTCTCCCTTAAAGATTCCCTAATCCTAAGATTATAAATTGATCGAATTGCTCTTTTCTGAAGCACAAAAAATGTTTGTATGTCGGCAGCATTTCCCCACAATAGGATACCGTACGACATAACACTATGAAAGTAACTGAAGTATACTAATCTGGCAGTATCTATGTCAGTTAACCTACGTATCTTCATTATGGCATATGCTGCAGAGCTAAGTCTACTCAGAGCTAAGTAATGTCAAAAAAACCATATCGGTACCCGACTACTATGCTTTATCGTAATTGTGCAGTTCTCAGCATACGCCAACTGTTTATCCTTCATGCCATTCTGTACAAACACTCTAAAGTTCCATATGACCGAAATAGCTCCATATCAAGAAAACGAAGAACCGACAGAGTCTTTGTCATAGCAACTCATCGTACTACTTTTGTTAGAAGACATTTATGTTTCCTTGCACCTTATTTATACAACAAAATAAATAGAATATTAAACATCCATAATAAAACTCGTTATAACTGCAAGTCTACTCTAGAAAAGTGGTTACTCACACTTAATTACACAGACACAGAATCATTACTAATATCTCCTCGATAGATGCACTTTCATTTTCCTTCTGATACATGCACTTCTATAATAACGCACCACACACACACACACTCACACACTCACACACTCACTCACACACACACACACACACACACACACACACACACACACACACACACACACACACACACACACACACACACACACATACACACACATACACACACACACACTTAAACCGTGTCAGCATTGACTTGCACTGAGATGAGCGCTCGTTGATTCACGGGTGGGACCTGGAGTCCTGAATTACAGGGTTGCCCTAGCTTAGGCTCCAGATCGCACAAAATAATTACTCATAAATTGTTTGCCTATCAATCAATGATTGTGTGATAAATAAACTGATTATTATTATTATTATTATTATTACTCGACAATTTATCAATATGTGGGCCCCACTGTAGTTTAGAATCTAATGTTATTCCTAAAAATACTGTGGTATCCACAAGACCCATGTTCTTATCTTTTACATTAACATTTATATCTACTTTTTTAACATTAGGTAGTACAAATTTTAAGCATTTTGTTTTTCCTTCATTAAGGAGAAGATTATTTACATTAAACCACTGAAATACAAACTTCTGCCTCCAACATCGGATCTTCAACCAGTATTAATGAAAGAAAGAAAGAAAATGTATTTATTCCGGTGCACAAATAAATAGACATAAAACATTTTATAATAATTACAATAAATAAAAAAATATATAATTAAAAAAAGAAAAAATGCGTCACACATTGCACCGAAATAGGCAGCCAATTCAGCTCACTGTCAGGTTGATTAATAGGTGCATGGGAATCAAATACAGACAAAATGTTCGAATTCAGTTTTTCCACCATTTTATTTACCGTAAAATGCGAAAAGTTATCCCAATTCAAATTAGCTAAATCTAAGTTAAATTTTTCGACATTGATATTTTTTAAAGCTCTGTATTGTATTATGCAAGGCTTAACCTTTTCTTTTTTTATATCAAACCTACAAACAATAACTGCATGACCATAGACTTCATTACCCAACATCTCAACAGATAAACACTTCGCCTGAAGATCGGTACATACTAGGTCTATCAGTGTTTCACTTGTGCTTGTGAAGTGAGTAGGTGTTGATACCAACTGACTGAGGCCGAGGCAGCCAAGACTATCGTTTAATTTCTTTGTTTTTCGGTCGGAAACATCGAGCAAGTTTACATTGAAATCGCCTAAAAGAATACAATGATCATTTAGTCCCATTGCACACACTGAATTGGAAATAGAGTCTAAAAATAGTTCTAGGTCTAACCATTGTGGACGATATGCTGTACCGATCGCGATCCTTTTCCCTTGGACAGTGAGTAATAACCACATCTGTTCAACCAGGGAATACTTTGGATCTGCCGGTAGATTATGAACTCGCGCGTTGATACCCTTTCTTATATAAAAACCTACCCCTCCCCCACGACCCGAACGTACGGACAATGGACGAGGTGAATGCTGTATTATCATCTATTATAATATCCTTAATGACAAATGCTTAAAAAACCCACTTTGTCCCTAGCACTCTGAGATGGGACTCGAACCCATGACCATACGGGTGGATCAGTGGTTAGAACAGTTTCGCGAATGCATAGTTTTTAAGAAATAAGTTATATATCAGAAATAAATAAACATCTTATTGATAAACAGAAATAAAAAAATTAAAACAAAAGAACTACTTTTGTTACATTTTTTTAATACACAATTTCATTTGCGACCCTCTGTATTGTATTTATGTAAGTTTTATGCCTTATTGCCTTTATGTAAGTTAGAACCATATGTCGATGGTTAGAACGCTTTAAAGTCCCAAGCGGCCTAAAGAGGGCCAATGGCCAAAACTTGGAAGCCTACTCTAATTCACCGAAAAACGAAATTTCGTTCGAAATTTCGGACGTTTCCTACCACAATTACGTTCGTTCCGAATATTCAACGAACGAAAATGTTTGACATATTTATTTTCTAAACCTACTCTATTTCACGAAATGACAAAACGAACATTTGAGTTTGATATCTAATTGTTCGGAATTCTTACCTCAAATTGACGAAGTAAAAAATGTTACCTTTTCATTTCGTTAGCACTTTTTTATTTTCGAAATGGGGTCTATATTACTATTAATCGAGTCAGCTCTCAGTAAAGAACGATTAGCCCGTAGAAGAAATCGGCGGCGGCTTCGAAATAGAAATATAAGAAATATTCTCGACACTGAGTTTGTAAGTAATTACAGACTCAGTTGTGAATTATTTCAAGAACTATGCCAGGAGATTATACCTTTACTGTGTCCACAGGCAAGAACTCATGCCATCGAGTCCACAATTAAAGTTGGAAGATATTTTATCGTAGTTCTTGATAAAAAAAATTGCATGCCTACCATTATGCATTTCATATTTTTATGATTCTTACAGCGTTGAATTTTTATGCCCGAGGTTGCCAATGATTCGTATCTCAAAACATGGATGGGCCTATGGCCCAACAAACAGTTTCACGGTGTTAGGAGGTTAGGACTGTCCTCAATTCACCAGATAGGTATTATAAGAAAGTATATTATTCCGTCAAAACCAAAATGAAAGGAATCTTATTAAGAGACAGTGAGTACCTAATAGTTTATTGTTTATTTTGGCTTTATGTATGAATTGTGAATATATACCTATAGAATTATGTCATTAATATTACAGATTTTACGAGGCATATAGGCTATGCCATTATACCTGAAAAATATGACTGATAAAAGTAAATTTATTACTAAAAACCTTTTTTTGTGCCGAAAAACTAAATATTAGTTTCATACTTACTTATAAAGTTTTTTACTGAATTGTCAAGATAAATTTCAGAACTCACAATAATTAAATAAAATATTAGTAAACACTGAACAGTTTGGTGAAAACTTGTAAAACTTTTGGCGGGATGAGAATCGTTTGTATTATACGGATATTTAAGATTGCCATACGTTGATTATAGCCATCGTATAAATGAAAGGTTGTTTTTAAATATGTCGGTTAATACTGTGGATAAAAGAGTTCTTTATAGTGTCTTGATCAGTTGTAACGAAAAATAAAATTCATTAATATACTAAGTTTTTCGTTAAATTATTATAATATTTTATGTTTAAACAATGTTTAGCCACTAAAATTTTATTTAAAAGAAGTATATGTATTGTTTAATATTATATATTTCAAGTTACGGTAAAAACCGGAATTTGACATTATAAGAAATCCAATAACGCCATTCACTCCAATCGATCACGAAAATTGTCTTTGGAAACGAACATTCGTTGGTGTATACAAAAATGATAAAGAGTAGCGTTCCATGCGAAATTTCGTTTTAATTTTGTTCGTAAACGAAATTTCGTTTTCGTGAAAGCGAGTAGGCCTCTTGATCACTGACTGAAGCATTTGCATATGCATACTGTAGATGACGCGGGCTCGCAGT